GCAATTAGCAACTGTTCTCTAAATGATTACCAGAAAGTTTGTGATTTCTAGATGTTAAGTTCTCATTGGGGCGCAACTAATTTTTACAGCATTGGAAAGGGATGGAAGCATTCATCATATATGTCTGTCTGAGACTATTCTAAGATGTTCCTCTGAGTATGGCCATTTAATAAGCTCCAAACCAGTCCCAACAACCGCAATAATGGCCATGTTTCTATAAAGATCGAACCCGCTCTTAGGATGTTCAGTTTTCAGCTAAATTCGTTTCAACCATGTCTAGAAGCCCTTTCACCTGCAAGCTGATGTGCACATTATTTGTGCTAACAGGCTTGATGACTGAGTCTGCTAGAGTTGTTCATGCTTTAACCTGCCCCGAGGTGAGCAAAGGCCTTGTTCCGTGCGTGACATACCTGTCGACCAGGAGCTCGTTCGGACACTGTTGCACACAGATACGGCTTCTGAATTCCAAAGCCAAGACCACTTCGGATCGACAAGGCGTTTGCCGATGCTTAACAAGTCTTGCTGCTCAGTTCCGAATCCGTCATAGGCTCGATTTCAATCTTGTTAAGCAGCTTCCAGGAAAGTGTAACGTCAACATCCGCTACAGTATTACAACTGAGAATCCTAACTGCTCCCAGTAAGCATCTTCTACTAACAACCCCATTGTTTGATAGCTAGACCAGACAGAGAAGAACTTCAAAACTATGCCTTGCACAATTTTGATCTTCCAATGTAAATAAAACATTTTTCTTCATCTTGAAATACAGCAAAGAGATGTAATGAAAACTTGGCACTATAATCAATTTCCTTGGCAATCTTTGCAGGGTGAAATGAGAGGAAACGAAGATGAAAGCAGCAGCTGCAGTAGCAGCCACTATGTATGCAGCATAGGAGTTTGGAGAAAAAAAGTTGAGGCTTTCAGCTAAGCAGCAGTAGCAGCTTAGCTGAAACTCAGCAACAGCTTCTTCTGTTATAAATTATTGAAATAAGAAGCAAAACTGAAAATGAAAATAACAGTACTGCAGTAATTTATTTAGTCGTACTTCACTTTTTCCTCCTTGGAAATGCATAGGCATGGTTTGTCCTGTGTATTGCCCAGGAAGGATTAGATCATGCAAAAGCTATGCATTAAAAACCTCTGCTTTTGATGTATTATTACATGGCCCTGGACTTTTCTGTTTACTTTCATGAGTTGAGATAAGATCATTGGACTTGTAATGAAGAAATGTTTTCTGTTGGAAAGGCCATAAATTTTGTAGGAAACACTACAGAAGAATTTAACTAGAGGAAGAGTCTGCTGTCAGAGTCCAGACCACGTTTAAGACATGTTTGATAAGTACAATAAAATCCATGTTTATGTACCAAGACCTATCTCATCCTATATTTATACACTCAACACCCACTGCATCTCTCACTTTTCAGACCCATTACACTACGCTAAGGCAATTCAAGTTTGGACTGAACATAAAATTGTTTCTCCTGGTACCTGCACTAAACAAGTTCATTGTTTCCAAAAACTTGTAGGTTTAATTTGCTTAAAGTTTTTGAAAGCCCAAACTCTGATACAAGTAGGAATTCAGAGCTTTATTGGAAGGGAGTACCCTTAGGAACAAGGTTTTACTTTTCTTCATGATTTCCAGAAACTTGTAACTGTAAGGTGAATTAGGAAAGCCCATTTCAGGACTTTATATTTTCAGCAAAAATTAAACCATCCTATCCCAATCCTCATTTTGTGGAAGGGGTAAGGTTCAAAAAGTACACTCACCCCCCTCCCAGTTTCAAAATGCCAAAGGGTTGAACAATTATCTCTAACTAAAAGGTCAACATTTATATAACCTTCTGCACCCTAGCAAGGGGTTGAACAAAGTTGTAAATCAAGATCTTTCTAAAGAGAGCATAGATCACACACTGATGCATTCACAAGTCATAAGTAATCATATCACATGATTAAGTGACAAGCAACAGCAACCAAGGCCTGTATTATCCTCCAAGGTTCAACTGAGCCATGAAGTTAAAGAACTGTAAAGTCAAGGCACTACAATCATATAGCCAGATGCATGTACAGTTTTGTGCACACTCATTTGAGAGTGGGGGTGCGCCATCCACTGAAACAAAAACAATTTGAAGAAATTCACCAGCATTATAACTTTAAGCAATACTGAACCAACAATACAGCGGAAGCAGCTGGAATGTCGCATCAATCTACTTCTAGGGATCAAACTTCTAATCCCACATCATTGCTTTGCTCCAAAAATAATTGAATGTGAAATCCACAAGAAAAGAATCTCCAATATCTGGAAACCTAGCAAAGCTACAGAAAACCTAAAACCCCAATCGCATTGAAAGAATTGAATTCAACTGAACAGTACCTTTTGATGTCAACAAGGTCAGTCTATGAACAATCCAACAAATAGGCCAGGGCAAACTGTTTATCAGCAAAATTTGTATCATAATGTTCCACCACTTTCACCGGCAGAAATTGAGGGGCCTTCAGATTTCACAAAGCGCGAACCCCTGCTGCTGATATCAAGGCCCTGCAATCGGCCAAGAGGGTCCTGTTGCATCATATCAGCAAAGGCATGCGAGTTGGAGGCAGCTACCACAGACTGATTAGGCGTCAACATGTTAGACTGGAAGGGATGAAACTGTGGCATTTGTATGTTCTGGGTGTCAACTTGCACATGCTGTGGCTGGAGAGGAAAGTAGGAAGATTGGGTGTATGGTATATGGTGCATTCCCAAATTAAAGGTATCTGTGGGTGTCGTCATTTCTCCAGTGGCAATCTTGAGCCTCTCTACTTCCTTCTTCAGTGCTTCATTCAGAGCTGTAGTCACAAATGGACAAGAAGAAAAATTATATATATAGTTAACAATTCCCTGCAGTTTTATGAATGAAATAGCAGGGACATTAATACAAACATGGTTAGATACCTCCATGCAAATGGACAATCATAATGCTACACAATGCTTGAGCTCTAATATTAATGCCTAGAATAATATTTATTTAAAATGGGCACCCCTTATTTTGACTAGTTCCATGGCAGTTTGTTTTGTTGTTTATCATGGAGTAGATATGGTGAAAAAATTGCTCAACTTGTGTAGCAAACACGTCCCTTGATATGCTGAATGTACACTCGTGAAGATATACGATCTTGGAGAGAATTTGGTACCTAATTGGTTTGGACAGAACATACCATCACGTAGCTGAGCTTGTTGTTCCATAGCTTGTAGCCGAAGCTTAAGCTCTGTGTTCTCAGTACTCAAGCCTGTTGTATCTCTCTAGAACAGGACACAGGCATTAAGACTATTAACACTTAGGTATTAGTCAATCAAGAAAAATCAAAGCAACAGAAGATGGAACATATTAAAAATAATGGCAATTTCAGAAAATAATATGCCTTCAACAGAGTGTTAGAAGCATGTTCAATCACAATAAAAGAACTGAACCAAAAGGAATTAAAGGCCCAATTGCAAAAAGCTTTTGATTTCTTAGCAAAATGAATTGCCAAATATTTGATTGTTTAATATGCAGATCCAATATTTGCAAAAAAGGAATGCATATCACCACAACTAGCTTCAATATTACGCAATAAGATAGGGAAGTGCTTGACAAGAACCTGGAATAGGGTTAGTTGCGCAGAAAGAGTAGTTGCTTCCGTTTGAAGTGTTTGGACTTTTCTCTCCAATTCAGATATATATCGGGCTTTCCTCTCTTTAGAGCGAGCAGCTGACTGCCGATTTGCAATGATCCTACACAAATTACATACTTTCTTAGCGGAAACTGGAATGAAAACCCAAATCTGACCACACAATACGAGATTGTCAAATCTATGGGAGAAATTTTCCATTCTGACTAAGGGTGGAGGGGTGTTGAGCAGAGAGATGAGAATTGCACTAACTCAGCCACCTCACCAAATGCTAATGCATTTTAAAGCAAGATACACTTATCAGTAATATAGGAATAAAAAGAGAAGTGAAGTTTAGTGGCCCTCAAACAATAGAAAATGTTATAACGCTCCAAATGTAGAAAACGTATGCACACATGACCTTCCAAACCCATTATTGCAAGTTCCACAGTTTGGAAAGAACAGCTCATTTGCCAAGAATCAAACTTAAATGAAATTAACCCATAACTGCCCGGAAGTAATATTGTTAACGGTTTAAGAGATATTCCACAGGTCATTATTTTCAGTTATGCTGATGGAGTGATGGTAATGACATCATAGTACAGCACAGAATACAGTGACAAGACTGGCCTTAGAAACCAACACTTCCAAAAAGGCAAGGTGATGAAAAAAATTGATTATAAAACTGATTATCAAATTTTCAAAAGAATAGATAAAACTATTGGAGAAAGAATTTAAAAAATCATTTAGAAGGAGAAAGAGTAACAAGATCAAGTAGTTAACAATCTAGCAAAGCCTATCCAATTAATCAATGCTGAGTGTTTTTAGAATTTATGCAGTACATGTTCAGTGATACTAAACTGAATATTTCCTACTCCTGACTATAGTATTACAACATTTGATGGTAAAGCAGCCCATACGTATGCTGAAATTCCCATAAACAAGCCAAAAATGTACTTAGCAATTGGAGATACAGATTATACA